CTACAAAGCTGATCTAACTGTTTGTATTACAGTATGGATATGTCCAAAATAAGCTTCCAGTAGTTTTTTTTTTAATTCCATCTTCACTATTGTGTCCTGATGCATCTCAGTAATCCAGGTAAAAAATCTAAAAGAAAAAAATTGTATAGGTCCTCTGGACGGGTTCTTCTCTAATGAAACGTTTCGTCTCTCCTCCAAGAGACTTCTTCAGTCTGAGAGTTTCAGGCAAAATTCAGGCTTTTAAGCCCTGCCTCCATGTGACTGATACTCACATCACATGGCTATCGTTGACAACTAATTAACACCTACAGTATTGATAACAGGGGGTGGAGTGATACTGGCAATAGCCGCGCTGTAGGAGGGGGACAACAGAAAACGGAGGCCTCCTCCTTGTCAACGATAGCCATGTGATGTGAGTATCAGTCACATGGAGGCAGGGCTTAAAAGCCTGAATTTTGCCTGAAACTCTCAGACTGAAGAAGTCTCTTGGAGGAGAGACGAAACGTTTCATTAGAGAAGAACCCGTCCAGAGGACCTATACAATTTTTTTCTTTTTGATTTTTTACCTGGATTACTGAGATGCATCAGGACACAAAACCAGAAGCTTAGTAACGTCCATGTTGTGGTAAAGCACTAGGATTACCCATCAGTACGGCTCAAAACCCTTACTGAAACAGATAACAGGTGTGACTACTTCTCACCTTATAGTACATAAGTTTGCAATCAGATGAACTTAAAACAAATTAAAGGGGTGGCTGGGGGGGTAGTATGCTATTTTTAGCTTCATATCATGTCATTACCTCAACAAAAGCTTTGACTCATTCATGTTTGAGGAATCCTTGAATCTCCCTGAAGCATTGTTTGAATATGTATGAAAGTTTATTTTTTATATTTACAGCTTTATCAACTGAAAGTAGTGCAGTTGATACTTGAGTTTATGAAATCAAATATAAAAAAAAAGGATTTCCTGAACAATCAACTGGTAAATTTTTCAAGTACTTTTTGAGATTTTTTTAACGTGATTTCAAAACATGGGTACACAACGTAAACAACATACATTTGGTTAAATCTGCTGAAAATCACATGAAAGATTAGGCTTGACCTACATTAGGCTGGTCAAAGTCTGCCCGTAAACAAGTATGGTGGAAATTAACAATTGAGGAACCTGGGGAAAAAACAACACAAACATTTAAGTAAACGTGAAAATTTCACAAAACTTCTGCTGGAACCGATCAGTCACAAACTCTTCCATTGAATGCAATTATTTATGTATTTTTAGTCAAGTTTTAACCAGGTAATTTTACCATCTTAAAAAACAAAAGTAAAGTTTATTAGGTCACATATTTTAGCTGAATCTAAATATATTTCTGTTGAGTCAATGAGATAATAAAATGTTTCTTCCTGATGAGAACACAGCAGTAAAAGCAGAGTTTAGTTTTTTTTTTCCTTACATGAAGCTGTGTTTATTTTCTGCTGTTTGCCACGTGTCCAGGCAGATTAGACAAAATACTTCCATGTCAGAAAGTTTCTCTGAGCTTCTGCTGAAGGAGGTGAAAACAACCACAGGAGAGCACATCTGGAGGTTCATCAAGTCTGTCCGACTCTCCCGCAGCAGTTTAATGAACAATTCTGTCGATGCTCTCCTGGATGTCAGTCATCTTCTTCAGCACCTGATGAACCTTGGCTTCGTCAAACTCCAGGCACACAAACTCAGAGTCCCGTTCAGCTCTGCCGAGCTCCAGCTCCATGAGAGCAACCGGGCTGCTGTGATCCGTTTTCCCACGGCTGTCGGCAGCCTGGAGGTCYACCCTCCAGGAGAGGCCCCTGAGTGCGGGCTCCCAGATGTTCTGAGCCAACAGGCTCTCCCTCACTCGGACCCTCTGGCTCTTCCAGAAGCGGGAGAGGGCGGCGGCCTGCTCGGCGCTCACCCCGCCGCCACCGTGCTTCTTGGTCTGGGCTGTGAGAAAGGCCTCCAGCTGGCTGTGGTCCATGTCCGCTGTGGCCAGGGACTTCAGCATCCCTTTCATTTTACCGTATAAAGCCGTAAACTCCTCCTGCGACACTTCCGGGTACAGTTCACTTCGCAGCAGCTCCTCTGTGATGTCCCTGTTGTTGTAGTACACCATTTGAGCGATTCCGTTCAACAGACCGCTCAACGATTTCGCCGCTTCCACGTCCGCCATGTTCTTCTTCCCAGTAAAAAAAAAAAAAAAAAAAAAATCACGTGCCACGGGCTTGACTTCTTGTCACGTGACGCGGGCAGCCTGACGTCGCGGCGACGTCACCGGGGCACGCAGCCCGGTAAAGTCACAGTTTGAAGTCTAAAAAAGTAAACTAACTTATTGAACGGCAGCAATAAAACATGGAGGGCGGTGATAAGTGTGTCCGAGTTACATGACGGAGACACCTTCAGGGACTCGCTCCAGAAGGTAACCCGCCCTCAGGAGGACAGGAGACGGCTGGAAGCTGCGGTGAGTCGAGGGGGTTACTATTTAAAATAATAAAAATAAATAAATTAAAAAAAAAAATAGAGCAAGAGAGGCGAAACTTTCCGCACGAGCTTAAAACTCGCATGTGCTCTGAAAAGGAAGCTGAGGTTTTTTTTATAGTCAACAAAAACAATATGTTGTRTCAGGCTGGTTTACTCAGAGGGAGTTAATTCATAAAAACACAAATATCACTTTATGGACTTTTAAAYTGTTTAATCCACTTATTATAATGGCTCTGAGGATAATTTATGTCCTTTGCTGTGTATTTTATTTTATTTTCAACATTTATTCGTGAAATTTGTCCACAGCTGCATTGTTCTGTCATTTCCATCAGAGCTGAACTTTATTTTATTTTATTTATTTAACCTTTATTTATCCAGGTAAACTGTTTGAGAACCACTTCTCATTTACAAACATGACCTGGCCAAGAGGCTGCATGAATGAATAAAAACATACAATATGAGCATACCACAAACATTTACATTAAAGAAATAAATGTAGAAAATAGAAAAAGAAAAAAAAAAGAATAAAAAGCTTAAATGTGTGTTCGAAATTGTCAACAGGATGAGGCGTCAGGGAAACTCATGGAAACAGCTTGTTTTCAGGAGTGGACCAACATGGAATGCGTTTCCCCAAAATATTTATGCATTCTCCTTTCCTCCCTTTATCTCCTTCCTTCCTCCATATCTGCTTCCTTCACTCTGTCTCCTTGACCCCACAGAGACAAAGAACATCTTCTGTTTGACTCTTTCTTTTCATTTCCATCTGTTTTCCTTTTCTCACGAAAAGAAGAAGAAAAAAAAATCTTCGTCTGTTTGAATCTACTATCTGCTAGATAATAATCTTTCTTGCAGAGGTCATTTCCCCATGTTTAATGAAATTTCTTTCTTTTGCCTCAGTTGATACAGAGTATTTTGTAATCTGGATTAAGTTTTAATTGAGGTTATTTTTGTTGTACTGGATGTATCTGGGTTCCCTTTGTGTTGCCACTGACATTTTAAGCGGTTTTTGCCCCAAAAAATATATAAAATGAAAAAAAGATAATTACACCCTCCAAACATTCATTCTGAATTTTCCAAAATTGCTGAACAATGTTCAAAAATGTAAACAAAATGAGCTTATTCTAAGAAGTGTTGAAGTTATACCCATTTTAAATAATCCTTATAAATGTCTTTGCGATTCTTTGAAATCTTGCAGGGAATGTGTTGAGAAAAGAGTCTCAGCTCCAATCACAACAAATCGTAGCTCCACATTAACAAAACTGATCTGAGTTTTAGCCGTTTTTGTATTGGCTAATGTGGATTATTTGAGGCGGCCAGCTTGAATCGATGACTCCAAAAACTTAATCAGCTTCGTCGTTACGTCCTATGAATTTTCCTAAAAATCTGTCCTATGGTTGATGAGATATTTAGCTAACAGAGAGGGTCGTGGCCGCTTCATTCAGTCCCTAAACTTGTATATGTTCATGACGGGGGTCAGAACCACCACGCCAGATTTTAGCTTTTTTTTATTTAATTATTTTTTGGGCAGGTAAGAAATTTGAATTATATCCATATTTGTGTTTTTGCCGTGATGAATATTGCAGTATTTCATTTCCTGGCACCGTATCAATTTTTAATTAAAGCTTAATTGATGGATGTCGTAAAAAGAAACGTGAATGCAGTTCTCACTGTTGTTCGGTGTTTTTCTGATTGCATAAACATAAACTGAATCTATTCAGATTTTATGCATGAAATGCATGGTGTGCTCTTTATATATTGACTCCCTTATGATACGTTGTGATATATCATGTATCACCAAATACACAGCCTCATTGCTTGTCTGTGGTGGTCATCTTGGGGTCGACTCTACAATTTCGACATTTTTCTTTAAGCAGGTTTTGTTAAAACTTGAGTGAATTCTTTCTCGAGTCCACCCAGGCTCCATTAGTCCTCTGCAGGAGCTTTATTTATTTATCTTTATGCTGGATCTGCAGGGTTTTCCTCCACGTTCTCAGAGGAGTGACGTCTTTTCTCAAACAGCTTCCAGCGGTTCCCTCGCCTCTTTAAGGTTGCTCTGTCAGACCTGTCGCTCTGCCGTGGGAAACTCTGAGAATTCCTCTGTCATCAGTTTGACGGCTGACCGTTCCCCCCCTCTCTGCGACCATTAGATGGCGTCCTGCTCCAGCGGAGAGTCAGTTTGATCCCCCCCCCCCCCCCACACTCTCCTCCTATTCTCCTCAGTCACAGTCGTCTGTGAGATGCAAACATTTGCAGAGGCCCACCTCCTTCTGCTTTTGTCTGTCTGCATGACTCACTGATCATTTGTCAGACAAGAAAAAAGGGGGGATTTGTCTTTTCATTTCTACTGAAATTACTGCCGAGGAGATGAGTAAGCTTTGATAAAAGACAAATAAGGTTCCAATGAAAAAATAAAAACAAAACAAAAAGCCAACTTGATTTGCCAGCAGCAGTTTGAGATAATTTTTGTTCTAAAACTTCATATTTATTTATTTATTTTATTATTTCGTCTTTAGACTTGTATTTCTTCTTCTTATCAAGCATGAATCTGCTTATATGGAGAGTTGCATAACTTCTGAAAAGCTTTGGTTATTAAATATAATTTTGAATCCAATTTTTAACAAGAAGCAAATATTTCAGCTCATTTAATTATCTCAACTCAACTTTATTTGTATGGACCCTTTGCAACTAATCACGTGGTGGAGACGCCATGKTTGGCGTCTGAAGCGAGGGATGGGAGTATGGAACAGAGCGACTGTAACTGTTTTCCCCTCGTTGTTTTTGCCAATTTAGCCATGGTCCGCTGTAAAATGTGCCGTAGAGAGTGGTGCCAACAGCAGCGAGAACTCATCAACTCTGTTCCACCGTCCGAAAAAGTTCCACTCGATGCAACTTTGAAAATGAAGTGCCCTAAAAGATTAAGCCCATCCATCCATCCATTTTCTTCCGCCTATCCGGGGTCGGGTCACGGTGGCAGCAGCTTCAGAAGGGAGGCCCAGACCTCCCTCTCCCCAGCCACTTCTTCCAGCTCCTCCGGGGGAACTCCAAGGTGTTCCCAGGCCAGCCGAGAGACATAGTCCCTCCAGAGTGTCCTGGGTCTTCCTCGGGGCCTCCTCCCGGTGGGACGTGCCCGGAAYACCTCACCAGGGAGGCGTCCAGRAGGCATCCTTACCAGATGCCYGAGCCACCTCAACTGGCTCCTCTCGACGTGGAGGAGCAGTGGCTCTACTCTGAGTCCCTCCCCCCGGATGACCGAGCTTCTCACCCTATCTCTAAGGGAGAGCCCAGCCACCCTGCGGAAGAAACCCATTTCGGCCGCTTGTATCCGGGACCTCGTTCTTTCGGTCATGACCCAAAGCTCATGACCATAGATGAGGGTAGGAACGTAGATCGACCGGTAAATCGAGAGCTTCGCTTTCTGACTCAGCTCTCTCTTCACCACGACGGACCGGTACAGCGCCCGCTTTACAGCAGACGCTGCGCCAATCCGCCTGTCGATCTCCCGCTCCGTTCTTCCCCCATTCGTGAACAAGATCCCCAGATACTTAAACTCCTCCACTTGAGACAGGGCGACCCCCCTGACCCGGAGAAGGCACTCTGCCCTTTTCCGGCTCAAGACCATGGCCTCGGATTTTGAGGCACTGAGCCTCATCTCGGCTGCGAACCGCTCCAGCGAGAGCTGCAGATCTCGTTCCGATGAAGCCAACAGGACCACATCATCCGCAAAAAGCAGAGATGCGATCCTAAGGCCACCAAAACGGATCCCCTCAACACCTCGGCTGCGCCTAAAAATTCTGTCCATGAAAGTAATGAACAGAATCGGTGACAAAGGGCAGCCTTGGCGGAGTCCAACTCTCACCGGAAAGATTAAGAGATTAAGCCCTCTTCCTAAAAACAGCCATTGAATAAACTGAAAGTATTTAAACAGATACAAAATATTCAGTGTTTTCTACGTATTTTATTATTATTATTATTTTTTACAAAAGTGGTGATAAATACTCTCAGGCCAAACAGCTGCTTGATTTGTTGACACATTATGTACAGAAAGGGTTGTTTTTGTTTGTTTATCGGACACACCGATTATTTTTATCCCTCGGGTGTTTTCAGTTTTATCGTAGAAACTACCAGAAATAAAACAAAGCCAGCGACTCGTTTAAACAACAAACCAAATCAGGTTTTTTTTTGTAACTCGGAAGTTCATCGAACCTTCAAAACCCGAAACACGTCCACGCCACTGAGCTTAGTCTTTTCCTTCAAATCAGCTATTTCGTCTGCTTCTTTTTCAGCTGTGTGTGTGTGGGTGCTTGTTAACCGTTGAGCTAATTTTGGCGTGGTATTGTTATGTAAACAGAGCGGTAACACTGAGCACTGATGTGACGAATATCTATCATATTTCTTTAAAGTCATAAAAGATTTTCTACCCTGACATATATCGATACTGAATTATCATCCAGCACAATTATGAAGTATATAATTGTTAATATTCTTACCTTGTAAAATGTGTGCAGTGCAAATCTGTGGATACACCGAGGGTTGCCAGTTCTTACAGTTAATGGCTGCTATCCACCATCATTTTCTGTCCTCATTCAAAAATATGTGATAAAATGACAGGTTTGTTTTGTTTTCTTGTCTGTGCAGTCAACCATGCACATTTAAATAGCACATTTAAAAACATCTGTCGTTGCACATAATACAAATAATAAAAAGACAAAAAGGAATGCATGATCATAAGAACAATA